CCTCTGGGAACAAAGAAAACAACTCTTACCTGCACATTCATCTTCCTTGTAGGAGTCGGTGCATGTTCGCATGTCAGACCACATTTTATAATGAGTGCGGGGATAAGACCTTAATGTCCTGGATTTGAGAAACTGGAACATGCGGGCTGGGATCTGCTGATAGGAAGTGGAAACCAGCAGGTCCAGTTTACTGTCTGTGTGTTTTTAAACAAGCTAACACTAGTAGCAACAAAAACAGAACTTTAGCAACTCTCAGACTGGACAACGCCGGGATGTCGATCTGTCAATCACCGTGTAGCCCCGCCCTAAAGCATCCCCTGCTTTATGGTCTATTTGACTCTAAATGGACCATAATGTACTAAATGAACATCATGCTGTATTAAAGAAGACTTGAAACTAGAGATTGAGACCATAAACTCATGTTTACAATGTTTACTGAGGTACTAAATCAAGAGAGAAGTAGAGTCATTTTCTCATAGACTTCTATACAACCAGAGGAGTCGCCCCCTGGTGGACATTACAGAGAATGCAGGTTGAAGACACTTGTTTACTTGTTTTTAAATGTTTAATGTCTGTGCCCCAGTTTTGGTGTCCTGGCGATACCTTTTTCCATATGATAATCTGAGTAACACGAAACATTAACCCTTTTCTCCATTTAAAAAAGACCAAAACAACAACAACAATGCGTTTGTTGTGGACTATTTTCAGCGGCGGAGGAATCCACATTTAGTGGCATTAAATGTCTCTATGAGACAGAGGAAGAGGAGAAACGAGGCTTTGTATTAGAGGGATACTTTCATTGTTGTTTAGAGAGTTTTCATGTGATTTATTTGAACCCAAAGTATTCATTTTTGATGCCCAACCCTAAACGTTTCAATTGAAGATAAATCACAAAACATCAAAGACCCAACTCCATGTGACCACACAATGTGGACTAACAAAGCTAAAGGAAATATGAAGGCGGGTTCATAAAAGATTCTTAGATCTTGTTGTAAATGGTTTCCTGTTTGTGGAGGTAAACAGACACAGAGTCCGTGTTTACGTGTTCTTTTTCTTTAATCTGATTATCTCGACACCTGAAACTCATCATCTTACTGTGAGTAACGTGTCTCAACAGTCGGGCGTCTGTCCCCAGTTTGTCTCTTTATAAAGACGTAAACACTCCGGTCTGATGAGTCCTTATCTGACTGCTGAGGTCAGAGGTCACCGTGCACAGCTGTTGGTTTGTGACTGAGACTCTGAACAACAGGGAGGATTGTTAACGTACAGAGTGTGTGTTTGGATCTGTTCCTCAGGGCCAGTTATCACAACAATCAGTCTGTGTGTTGAACAATGTCACACTTGTTTAATTTATGGACTTCAGTGAACACTTCTCTCTTTATGTTGCTGTATTGAACACATCGGCTTTGTTTTTGGAACATTTAATGTGGGCAGAAAATTATAATAAATGTGATGATTGTGAATAATTCCCGTTTGTCACAATAGTCTAAATCATGTTTATGTAGCTTTAATCTGCAGGTAGAGTTTAAAATAACCTCATCAATCGGGCCTCGAAGTGAGGAGTTGTATAATCCATCAATCACACACACACACACACACACACACACACACATGCACACGCACACTCTGCCCGGTGAAATAACAGTTAAAAATAGACGATGATTGACTTTCGCTTATTGAACTGGCTTCCTGTCCCCTCCCACAGCAGATGGTTGTCACGGCAATAAAATAACTGGCCAATGGGCAGACAGGGAGACAGAGGCAGTGAAGCAGCTTTGAGATAAGATAAAGATGAAAAACGATAGTGAGTGATGAGAGGAACTGTGATACAGTAAGTGTGTGTGTGTGTGTGTGCGTGCGCATCAGGATATGAGATCATATCTGAGCAGAACGAGTCTTATCAGATCCCAACATGCAAACATGAGCTCCCCTGTTAGCTTCCTTCCTCTCAGGTCTGATATCTGTGTGTGTGTGTGTGTGTGTGTGTGTGTGTGTGTGTGTGTGTGTGTGTGTGTGTGTGTGTGTGTACACTTTGTGTCTCTGTGTGTGTGTACTTTGTGTGTGTGTGCATCCTGTGGAGAATCAAATGTCCTCACAAGGACAGAGAGATGTTACAGGGTGGAGACATTTTGTCATTTTAAGGTCAGAGGTGAGTGAGTGATGCTGCATTCAGGGCGCGTGGTAGAGTGGTACAAATGAACTCTGAAGTAACAGTTCATGAACACGACAGGAAATAGAGTTAAGTTGGTGAATAGTAAACGTTAGCTTCTTACTTTACTCTTCAAACATAAGAGTGGAGTTCATTAGTGAAGATTATCTTGATGAACAAAGTATCATAAATGTTTGTTTGACACACAGAATATTTTCTGCAATAATTCAAAATCAAATGTGAGAATCCTATTGGCTCTTTTGTCGCAGAAACCAGTGATGCTAACTTCCTGTTAGCTACAAAAAATCAAATTCCTCTCTGCAGAACTCTCTAACTAACTTATGTGAGAATAAAGTTCCTACAGTTACGTTATAAGCACATGTGTAACTATTTAACTGTTGTCACTCTTTGTTACATTGTAGCTCGGTTACTTTCTGAGTAATCGAGCTACAATGTAGCAAATATACACATTAAAACATCCTAGCTAGCTAAAGCTACACGGTTAACTTACGACAGATCGTTGGTTTAGTTTTTCTGCTTTGGATGAAGATAAAAACATAAATAGCTGCTCTTTTTTATTTATTTTGCCGCCATCTTTGTGTTTTTTTTGTACATTTATTGAATATCACCGTTTTTCGTCCAGGTGGATGATCAGGTGTGAAAACAGCAAACGCACCATCTGCTCTGTTTCTTTGACTTTTGCAGCTCTTTAATCTCGCCATTATTTCAGCGGTGTAACAACAGGTGACTCATTTGCATATTGATGCAGTGATACTGTTGTGTGGTCACAGCTGAGTGTTTACAGAGTCATTGAGAACAACGCAGCTCAGCTGATCGTAATCAGGAACCCAAACTGTCCGTTTGAAAATATGAATTGTTGAGTAAATAGTATTGTTGAGTAAATTGTATTGTTGAGTAAAGAGTATTGTTGAGTAAAGACTTTGTCAATAAAGCTGTCCTGCTCATATTTAAATCTGAGCCATTTCTCTCTGGATGCTTCTTGTGGTTTGTGGTGGACGTCTCCGTGTTCATCTCTTTGTTCAGAACAACCACAATCTGCAGAAAAGTCTCATGACCGTGACGACGAGGCTTCAAATGATTCAGACATGTGAAGCAGGACTTCCTCCTCCTCCTGATATCAGAGTGTCATCAGGCTGAAGGTCGAAGCTTCTGGGCTGCAAGTCAGTCCTCACAAGTGTAGTAATCTAAACCTATAGAATGTAGAGCAGCAGCACATGTTGGAGGCTCTCACACACACGCACACGCACATACATGCACGCGCGCGCGCGTAAAAGCGCACACAAAGACACGTATGCATGGATAAACAGCCAGATACCAATGAACACACACACTCTCTCCCACACATGACACAATTTACTTGAATCCATTAAAGCTAAATTTACATAATACTGTCTCTGCTTAACTGCCTCTGCAGGGACACACACACACACACACACACACACACACACACACAAAGACATGCATACTGCAGTGTGGATGACCTTGCAGCAGCGACAGAGCAGAACTACAACCTGTGTGCGTGTGTGCGTGTGTGTGCGTGTGTGTGTGCGTGTGTGTGTGTGTGGGTGGGTGTGGGTGCAGCCCCATTATAGCACTAATTAAGACACTCCGTCTCCATATGTGCCTTATGTGTAGAGATGCTGCTGAAGACTCGGCCACACTGAGCGCTTTATTCTCCGTTTATCTGATGATTCTCGCCGCTGTCGTCAGATTTTCTGTGGATATCAATGACATCATCGGGATGAATGTTTGCTTCGCGTTGACGTTTCTCTCTCTTGTAAATAAGTAACGGCCTGTGTTGTTGGACATCTCTCAGATGTTAAATTATGAATGAATCTGTCCACACGTGCTGGAGAAACCACAGCTTTGTGATGTTTGGGACCAGATTCTTTGCCACGTGTGTCATCTTATCTGGAAAGAAATGAAAATATTGATCTTTAATTTAGTCACTTAAACCTGAAACGGCAATGCACCTGAAACAGGCACAACATCCTGATTACAGCAACGAGCAGAACGCTGTATTGTGAAGCTGAGAGAGCTCACAATACGTTTATTAAGAAGCTCCAGAGTCGGGACATTTTACCACAGATGTAGAAATAACTAAAAGTATTTATGACTCATAAATAGTTACAAACAAATCAGTTCCATCAAAAGGAAGACGAGCTATAAAAGAAATGAGTCACAGTGCGATGAGAGATACAGAACGCCTCACGTTGAACTTCAGTGGCTGATAAATGACTCAAGATGATCAGAAGAGAACGACTGACTTTCACACTAAGGTTGTAAAATCATCGGCGCATCAACAGACAATAGCAGCTGGTTTCCCTCCATCTTCATCCTCTTCTTCACTACTTTCTCTTTCTTTACCTCTCACGGGTCATTAAAGCTCATTATTTATATTTTCTCTCTGCTATTCAGTGATTGTGACGTTGATGTGTCGTTGCCGGTTTTTTATTGATCAATAATTCGACCCAATGCCTCGAGGCTCAGAAAAGAAAGCATGTGTATTTGTGTATTTGTGTGTTTGTGTATTTGTGTATTGATCACTGCAGCATGTGGATCAGCTGGTGGTGCGTTCTCAAGATTTTAATGTGGGAAAAAAAGGCCAAATTCTGGATAACCAGATGCTGTTAACACCTCGACAGAGAAAAGTCCTGAGAAACTTGATGGCGTGAATGTTTTCAGACTCGATCCAAAACAGTCTCAGTATGTGGTTCCAGACAACCCTCGACTGCTGCTCCTGTTGGTCCATCTGTTGAGATTCATCTTTCCTGTAATAGTTAATGAAGTCTGTCTGTTACTGAGGCCGTGTGATGTCTTGTGTCTGCAGGTCTGACCACAGAAGGTCTGTATCGCGTCAGCGGCAACAAGACGGACCAGGACAACATCCAGAAACAGTTTGATCAAGGTAAGAACCTCAGAACACCTGCAGAACCTCATAAATACATCTTCAGAGACCTAGAACCCTTCACAAGGAGCACACGGGTAACCCCGGTTTCAAAGCACAGATGGTCCTCGTTATATATTTCTCTTTCACATATCTAAATTATTTTCCCATGAACGTTCTCTGGAGTTCGCATGTTAACAATCGAGGAGCGCTTTGAGTGATGTGTGCAATAAATTCAACCCGCAGAGAGAAAGAACCTGAGCAGCAGCAGAAGTGCTTAAAGAGAAACACATGCGGCGGCGGAGCAGAGTGGAACCTGCACACGAGGTGCTGCTGAGCAAACCCACTCTTACAATAAATAAAGTCACTCGTTTTATAGCCGGGCGGTGAGACGTGCAGTCTCACCTTCATTATTGATCACTTTATTTGCTATCTCTGGTGTTATCGTTCATATAATCGGTGACATCGCCGTGTAAATATATAGCTTGTGAATGACCTGAACATGAAGACCACCTATAACCACAATACTGTTTAAAATTATAGCAGGAACACAGAGAAACACACCTTTAAAAGGCTTTACAGCAGCAACCATGAATCAGTGTGATAATAAAGATAATAATGAATCCGTTTAAGAAGGTCTGAGAGGTGACATCACGTCTGTCACAATATTATAACCAAATCTATTCATTAGCTTCTCTTTATTTTCTTTTCTTCTCATTGACGTTTGTGTATTTATTACATGAATATAAAGTCAGCTTCACTTCTTACAGACTTGAGAGTAAATACTGAGAGTAAATACAAAAACTCAGCTTTTAAAAAATGTGGTGAATGTCAGCCGACCGTACGAAGAGACTAAGCAGACGTCTGATGACTGTAAGTGAAATCTGTGTCGTGAAGATTGCGTCCTCCTTGTGATCCGTGTTCACGGTTAGTGTGCAAACGGGAACCAACGTGAGCGAATGCATCGTCACTCCGGGCTCATGGTAAAAACCCAGAGCTGACTCCTCTTTTATCTCTTTTATTTGACTTGTGCTGCTGCTGCCCAACAGTTTCCCTCTGGACACCATAAGTTCCGTCTCATCTTTACACCTTGATGGGAAGGTTTGTGGTAAAACTCAAAACATGTGCATCTCAAGAGGATTCAAGAAAACAGGAGGTGACGTAAATAAACATCAACGTTTTATTTTTGACAGAACTACGACTGAATGCTCCTTCATTATAGTTATTTCACTCACTCACAGACGTTCACATGCACATATTTGTGCTCGTGCACACAAAGATTTAAAATAGTTCAACGTTGTATATTTCTGTGAACATGAACAGAACTACTGAAATGACAATAAATGGAACTATCAACATATACTGTAGTTTATGTCTCATGTGAAGTGAATCTGCTGTATAATATCGAAGAGCTTCAGCTTGTAGCCTTGATAAGTCAAGAACATATGAAAATAATCTGTCGGCCCCACATTAATGTTGTTTTTTTGTGCAAGTGCTGCAGTTTTGACTCCTCGTGAACTACAGAAATAGTTTAAGTTGTGACAGAAGTTCTTTAATTCGGCTCATTCAGTCGCTCCGCGTGACTTTAATCTAGATTAATCAGAGGTCACGTCAACCCAATTTAAAAGGTGACGTAAGGATATGAAGGCTCTTTTAACGGTAAATATGATGAATGAAATCATTCATGAGAAGTCGTCTGTCCGAAGAAAATATGAAGAAATAGAAAACACGGATCTGCTTCATGTGTTGACATGAACTCACGCTCAGTGAGATTCTTTTGGTCTGCGGTTCTTCTTCATCAACGGTTCAGGCTGAAGCAGCGTTCTGTTGATTGTTTATTAATAAAGTTTATTAAAGAACAGCTTCTCCTCCTCTTTCCTCTTCTTTCTTGTTTGTCCCTCCTTCTTTCTTCCCTCCTTTTATTATCTTCTGTTTTTAATATATTTTTATTTCCATGAGTGTATTTCTGGTGAGCTGTGTGTGTGTGTGTGTGTGTGTGTGTGTGTGTGTGTGTGTGTGTGT